GAGAAGAGAAAAGAGAAGAGAAAGAGAGAGAGAGAGACAAATGAGAAAGACGAGAGAGACAAAGAGGAGAGAGAGAGAGAGAGAGAGAGACGGAGATGAGAGAGAGAGAGGAAGAGAGGAGGAGAAGAGAGGAGAGAGAGAGAGGAGGATGACGAGAGAGAGAGATCTGAGAGATGAGAGAGAGATGAGATCGAGAGAGATGAGCATTGAGAATGGAGAGAGAGCGAGAGAAAGAAAAGAGAAAGAAAGAAAGAGAGAAAGACTTGAGAGAGAGGAAAAGAGATCAGATTAGATTCTAAAACACTGCCCCCATTTTAACGTCAATTCACTCTTACATCATAATCATCATTACACTCACCTTATTAAAATATTATCAAGTTTATCAGTATTAGTCTTTCTCCCCAACCCAATCTCTTCTCTCTCTCTCCTCTTCTCTCTCCTCTCTCTCTCTCTCTCTCTCTTCTCTTTCTCTCTCTATCTCTCTTCTCTCTCTTCTTCTCTAGTTTCCTATACATTGACACTTATACTTGCAGCGGCATAGGCTCAACATGGTGGCACTCAGGAGCCATGCGCCCTCCAATAATTTTTTTTTTCGCTTGCACCCCCTGGCCTTTGGGAACTGTCATCAAATTCTCTCATTCTTTATCCCTTCCATTTCTTCACTCTCATTTTTCTTTCCTTTCCTTTCCCTTCTCTCTCTTTCTCTCTTCCTTCCCTTTCTCGCTTCCGTAATGCATGCAAATTAAACAGCATTCATATAAACTACACACACACACACACACACACACACACACACATTTAATAACATATATATATATATATATATATTATATATATAATATATATATATATATATATATTATATATATACATACATGCACACACACATATCTATTATGTGTATTTACACACACACAACCATCCCCCTTCGATATCCCACCCCCTCCCCCTCCCCCCTCCCCCCCTCCCCCTTTCTCCCCCCCTCTCCCCCCTTACCTTCTGAGGAACTCCTGATAGGGGATCCTGTGCGAGAACCCTTGCTGGCGGATCCTGATGGTGTCGCAGACGGCGTGGTACTTGACCTGGTGCTTGATCATGTCCCGGTCGAAGAGGGAGCCGGAGTAGTCCATGTTGGAGCGGATGCAACGGACGAAGTGGGGCTGGGAGTTGGTCAGTTTGTAGAGGAGTTCGATGAGGGAGTAACGGAAATTCATGCCCATCGTCTGCACGTGGCGAGTCTGGGACATGCGGCCCTTCGACTTGGTGTTGAAGCGCTGTTCCGGGGGGAAGGGGGAAGGGGGGTGCGGGTGCGAGGGGGGGAGGGTGGGGGGAGGGGGGGGGTGGGAGGGAGGAGGGAGAGGTTTTGTTATTGTGGTGTTATCATTATCATCATTATCTTCATTCAGTCATCCATCATCATTATCATCAATCATCATTCCACATCACACTCATCCCAATCATTATCTTCATCAATCTTAATTTTGGTATTGTACTTATTATCATTACTTCCATATTATATCATTATTATCATTATCAATTATTATGTTATTATCATGAGGATAATTATCATTATCAATATTATTATTTTCATCTTAATATTATCATCATCATAATCATTGTCATTATCATTATTAGTGTCATTATTGTCTTCATTATCATTATGCATCATAATTTGCAATAAACCCTTTAATTATCATAAGAGGCAACATAGAATTTGCGATTGCAATGTTTTATTAATAAGTTAGGTTACAATTTAAAGAAAACGATAAAAGTATTTGAGAAAAACCCAAATTTGAAGGGGTAACTATGGCTAAAAAACATACCATATTTCTTTATCAATTTGTTGTGCGTTTTTTAGTGATGCATGTTGCGAGTCCGTGCATTTGTGTGCGTGGGACTAAGAAAGAGAGAGGAGAGAGAAGAGGAGAACGAGAGCAGAGAGAGAGAGAGAGGGAGAGGAGGAGAGAGAGAGAGAGAGAGAGAGAGAGAGAGAGGGAGAGGGAGAGGGAGAGGGAGAGGAGAGGAGGAGGGAGAGGGAGAGGGAGAGAGGAGAGAGAGAGAGAGAGAGAGAGAGAGAGAGAGAGAGAGAGAGAGAGAGACAGAGACAGAGACCAGAGACAGAGGGACAGAGACAGAGACAGAGGACAGAGACAGAGACAGAGACAAAAGACAGAGACAGAGACAGAGACAGAGACAGAGACAGAGACAAACAGAGACAGAGACAGAGACAGAGACAGAGACGAGACAAGAGACAGATGAAGAAGGAAGAGAGAGAAGAGAGAGAGAGGACTAATCACAGCCCTAAACAGCCACACACACACAAAAATATTTACCCTTGAATCTTTCTTGGCCGTTTTCTTAGGAGCTTCGAGATTCTTCTTTCCCTTGAAATTATCTTCGCTCTCGTGAGTGAGGTTCCCCGTCTTGGTCAGCTTGTTGCAGAACATCGCCCGGACGTGCTCGTTGGCTGACTTGCGCATCGTCTGAATGAGCTCTGGAATGCAAGGGCAGGAACTGTCAGATGTGGATATATTACAATTTTATATACTTACACACACACACACACACACACACACACACACACACACACACACACACACACACACACACACACACACACACACACACACATGAGTCTCTGGAATGCAAGGTCAGGAACTGTCAGATGTGATATACATATATACCATGCCACAACACACACACCACACACACCACACACACACACAACACCACACACACACACACACACACACACACACACACACATATATATATATAATATATAATGTATCTACCAAATATACTGTATTGCACAGTACTTGGATAATATACATAATATACTTTTACACACACACACACACACACACACACACACACACACACACACACCACACCACTCATATACAATGTATCTACAAATATATGTATGCACAGTCTTGCGATATATACATATATACTTGTAACACACACACACACACACACACACGACACACCCACACACCACACACACCACACACACCCACACACACACCACACACACACCCACACACCACACACAACACTCATATATATAATGTCATCTACAAATATGCTGTCACTGCCACAGCTACTTGATATATACACTATATTGTACACCACACACACACAACACGCACACACGCACACACACACACACACACACACAGACACACACACTATATATACAATGTATGCTACAATATATGTATGCCCACATACTTGGGATATATACCATATTATACTTATGTCACATACGCACCCACCACACATACACACACACACACACACCACACACACACACACACACACACACACACACCACACACACACACAACACACACACACACACACACACAACACACCCACACAAACACACACCACTCATATATATCAACGCTATCTACAAATATATGTAAAGCACGGTACTGGTACAATCCAAAGCGTCCCCGACCCCTTAGTCTCCCCTCTCGTAACCATCTGCAGAGACTTACATGAAGGAGGGTTCTCTCTTACTCTCTCGCTCTCCCTCTCTTACTCTCTCGCTCTCTTCCTCTCTCTCTCTCTCTCTCTCTCTCTCTACTCTCTACTCTCTCTCTCTCTCTCTCTCTCTCTCTCTCTCTCTTCTCTACCTCAACTCGTCCTTTTATGCAAGCGACTCAAATTACGTTCTCTGTTTAAATAGTATGACTGTAGTAATCTAGTGTTTACTCCTATGGATTCACCCGTCTTGAAAACAAAAAATATCCTTTGCACTTTTTCACCGTCTTCTCAGATTTGCTAGAATATTCTTTATAATGTCGAGGCTGTGTAATGATCATACTAACTGGCTGGTTGATTAATCGATGTTGAAATTTGGAATAAATAAAATTAATGATGTACACAACATCTGCTATTTCAATGCCACACAGTGAACTATAGTGTCTTGCACTGGAATTTCTTTTCATCCATAGCTTATCATTTCATCGGAGACGCAATGAGACGAGACCAAGACAGAGAGTAGACAGGACACCAGAGACAGAGACATGAAGGAGAATGTGATGAGAGACGCAGCGGAGAGAGAACGAGAAAGAGCAGCGAGAGAGAGACGAAGGAGACGAACGCAGACGAGAGAGAGGAGAGATTAGACGAGAGAAGAGAGAGAAGAGAAGAGAGAGAGACAGAAAGAGACGAGAGAAATGAGAGAAGAAGAAAGAGAAGAGCGAGATAGAGAGAGGGAGAGAAGAGAGTACAGAGAGAGGAGAGAGAGAGAGAAGGAGGGCTGACAGAAGGAGAAGAAGAGAGAGAGAGAATTTATACATCCACATACGTACATTTTCACATATGATTATGATTACTGCATCAAAGTTCTCTTATTAACTAATTAATTAGATTAACGATGATCACAGTCATTAGCCTAATGCCCCTCTTTATGATGAAACCCTCGATTTCCTTTTTAATTAGTGTAATACATTTCTGTCTGAAATAAATTGCCTAAAAGGGTTACAAATCGGGATAAAAAATATAATGGATAAAAGTAATACATTTGATAGAAATCTATAACCCCATACAATTATCCAGAAAATTATGTTTCTGATTTTGTTTTATGCAAAATTCGACCACGAGAAACAAAGAAATAGTATTCTTTTAGATAAATACCCCATCCGAAACGATAAAACAAAAACCAAGAACAAAAAAACAAAAAAAAACGTTCGTTCGCTATAAAATAAACCCACTTTACTCTACTAACTGAACACAGATTCACAACACCCCATCCGAAACATGTGAAAAAGAACGTTCGTTCACCATAAAATAACCCCTTTACCTACTAAACTGAAAAATTCCCAACACCACCATCGAAACAATGAAAAAAAAGACGTTCGTTCACCATAAAATAACCCCCTTTACCTACTAACTGAACAAAACCACACACTAACCAACAGAAACAATGAAAAAAAGACATTCGATTCACCATAAAAAATAAAACCCCCTTTAACCTACTAACTGAACAAGATCACCACACACTAACCAGCAGAAACATTGAAAAAAGACGTTCGTTCACCATAAAATAACCCCCTTTACCTACAACCCTGAACAAGATCACACACACCATCCGAAACAATGAAAAAAGACGTTCGTTCACCATAAAATAACCCCCTTTACCTACTAACTGAACAAGATCACACCACTAACCAACAGAAACAATGGAAAAAAAGACGTTCGTTCACCATAAAATAACCCCCTACCTACCTAACCTGAACAAGATCACACACTAACCAGCAGAGATGTGGTCTTGGTTCTTGAAGACGAAGCTGTGGACGTCGTACTTGACTCGACCGACGTAGTGTGAGATGGCGAACGTGTATTCCGAAACCTGCTGCATCTGCTTCTGGTTCACCCCCGCTCTTCAGTCTGTCTGTTGGTAGGAGAGGGAAGGGGCGTGGGTGAAGAGAGGTTGGGCGGGAATGGAAAGCTTGGGGTGTAATGGGTTGATATGTGCTGGGTGGAGAGAGTGTGGGCGGAATGGAAAGCTGTGCTGTCGATACGGGCGTGGGTGGAGAGAGGTGTGCGGCCGGGAATGAAAGCTGTGTTTGTGATATGGGGCAGTGGGGTGAGAAGCGGCGGTGGGCGGAATGGGTAGCTTGTGTCTGTGATAATGGGCGTGGGTGAGAGAGGTGTGGCGGGATGGAAAGCTGTGCTGTGATATGGGCGTGGGTGAGAGAGGTGTGGGGTGTGGGCGGGAATGGAAAGCTGTGCTGTGATATGGGCGTGGGTGAGAGAGGTTTGCGGTGTGGGCGGGAATGGAAAGCTGTGCTGTGATATGGGCGTGGGTGAGAGAGGTGGGTGCGGGAATGGGAGTGATGCTTGATATGCGGCGAAAATGGGTGAAGCAGAGGTGTGGGGTGTGGGCGGGAATGGAAAGCTGTGCTGTGATATGGGTGGGGTGAGAGAATGTCTGGTGCGGGAATGGAAAGCTGTGTTTGTGATATGGGCGTGGTGAGAGAGGTGTGG